GGGAGGGTACAGGCTCTGGGGTCACACAGCGCAGAGCTGTAGTTCACCTGCTACACGACCAGGAATGGGGAAGTCAATGTATCTGCCCTAGGTCTGCCTAGAGGGCAAGAAATGCTGGCAACTTTTAGGGAAATCACTGGAGAAACTAACACTCTTTTCTGAGTGCTAATCGCCTTTTGATCATTTAAAAGCTGATTTTTCCACAGGCATAAGGAGCTCTAGGAGAGACGGCCACTGAATGGTTTCACCTCTGGCAGAGTATGGGGACAAGCAATGGCTTCAGAGGAGGTGAATGGAAGGCAGAGAAGTCTGAGGGTGATTTAAGTGCACAATACAACACAGGGGTCTCACCTCACAGGCCTTTCAATCTAGGAAACCAAGTCTAAGAAGAGACAGAGGGAGAACTTACACATGTCAATACATGTAATTCTTTACCATTAGGCTATTTTTGTAAACTATCATGAAGTGATTAAGATCCCCCTGAAGAGGCACTCTAACCATTCTGACAAATTCTGCAGTTAAGCTGAGGACAGCTTGCTTTTACGATTTCAGAACTTTGAATAGGCACCCTACCCTTTCTGATCTTAGCAGGCCATCATTAATTACTGAAATCAACAGTCTCAATAGCAATTCTGTCAGTAAAAACTGGAAAGAGAGAGGGGGAAGAGAGACTACACAATCACTGAAAATCTTCTCAATTTTCCAGGGGTAGGGCGAGTCCCCAAGATAAGCAAACAGAAGTTATTCCCTGATCGGAACGGGGAAGCCATTCTGAGACACTCCCTCTTCAAGGCTATTCTTTCTAACAGCAAAACCGCAACACAAGAATGTTTTGCAGACATGATATGTAAAAAACTAAAACTGAAATTCTGTATCTCTCTGGTTCTTCAATAAGCACATGTGCTTCTATTTACATAGATGTTAAAATATTGAAAATAGTATTGTTCAAGGTATACGTATAATCTACAGAGAGGTCAAACCTTTGGGACTATTTATTCTTGATTCCCACCCATTCTAGGTTTGTTTGCCCATCTGTCTCTTTAAATGGCGTGAATAAATTAAAGCATAACTGACATTTAGTGAAGACCATAATCATATTTTATATTGCCAACAGCACTAGATATCAAAGCCCCACCTGTTTTATGAAGTTTGTTTTTGTGAGTTTTTTTTGTTTGTTTTCTTTGAGATGGAGTTTCGCTCTTGTTGCCCAGGCTGGGGTGCAGTGGCGTGATCTTGGCTCACTGCAACCTCTGCCTCCCTGGCTCAAGAGATTCTCCTGCCTCAGCCTCCCGAGTAGCTAGGATTACAAGCATGCGCCACCTCACCCGGCTAATTTTGTATTTTTAGTAGAGCCAGGATTTCTCCATGTTGGTCAGACTGGTCTTGAATTCCCAACCTCAGGTGATCCGCCCACGTAGGCCTCCTAAAGTGCTGGGATTACAGGTTGTGAGCCACCATGCCTGGCCTTTATGAAGTTTTGATTGGCATTTTGAACACAGCAGATTCCAATATTCCTGTTTCATATATAGGTTCACACAATTAAGACAATTTGTGATCACCACCATGCTGTTGTTATAAACAGGTGTTTTTAGTTTTTTAACACTCTCTTGCTTGCAATCAAATGACGTTTTTGAAAGAAAGAAAAAAAGTTGTATTGTACGCTTGGCCTTTGACTTTCTAGATTGTACCTGTTCATGGAAACCACTCAACTGCAGCTGGGAGGAAATCATTCACTAGAAAATCCACAAACACCACGCACATGTCAACAGAACCACCCTCATTCTGGCCATGCTCCTCCAGGGCAGAAAGCATGACAGAACTCCTGGCATTTACTTAACACTAGAATAAACACGGCTGTTTTAGCACCGAGACTGAAGATTGGGAGGTAACGAGGAAAAAACCTACACACTTGATTAGAATACAGCACTCTCACCAGCAGGCCTTCCTTAACTAAGTGCTCGGGGTAGGGTCTCGCCAGGTCAGATAACCCCACAGAAAAGTCTGATGCAGGCTGCTGGGGAACCTCAGCTAAAGAACTAGAGCTTCTGCCCGTTCTCCAAGGGGCACCCCCAGCAG